AGGCTGTGGGGCCGCGTTCAGTGTGGGCCGACAGGAGTGCAGAGCCTCCGGAGCGCTTGCTTGCGACCGCGAGCAGGGACAGCAATACGATATACTAGGGCTCGAGGCTCACCAAGCAACAAAAATCCGTATCGTGGAGAGAGGCGCGTGCAACAAGACAGTCGTCGTGCCCTTCTCCGGCTGCGCGCTCGGACGTCTTCGGCAAGAATGGACAAATGGAGGATCTGAGAGGATTCATCTCTGAAGAGTCACTCGCCCAAGGCATCCGGATCCGTCGATCTATCGCGCCGGAGCGATGCTCAAGTGGACCGTTTGTTATGTTCTGCCAACTTTGGGAGTGGTATTAAGATGGATATCAATGGCGTACGGAAAAGACATGTCAGTGCGTGAACCAACGAAACGTGTGAATGGGATCGATCCAGGATAGTTCATCAGAATAAAATATGAGTATTCACCTAAGGCCACATTTGCTGGCCTGATAACACACGCTGCACAGTGATCCTCCTGTACCCATACATGTCCTCTGGTTGACGAAAGGGTATGATACGGCTCAGTCCTTGACGCCGGAAAAGATGACGCCATCGCTGCAACGACGCAGAAGCGTGTAGAAGAACGATTCCAGGAGTTTGTACTGAGACTCACACAGAAATACCGTGTCTATCCAGTAACCACGGTCTTCCAACTACAAAGTCTCTGTGCCAACAAGGGCTCCGCCGATGCTCGATTCACACCGGAGACGTGTCAGACCGCGCTGTTCAAAGCACAAAACAATGACTTGGTACACACGTTTGTATGTTCCGGCAAGTGCAAGAGACGGCAGACGTACTTAGAGCCGGAAGCTAAACCCGAGCCGCGAAGACAGCGGGAGGAGAGTCGACCCAGCCGGCCGGGGGCTGATCATGCGACGATCGAATCAATGAAGTCACGTGCATCCTAACCCAGGGTCAAGCGACTCCGAGATTTGAGCTGTCCTAACGCTATCTCTCCGGCAAAGCTTGTTCGCTTGCGCTCTGTTGTACTCTTTTTTTATTATTATTTTAACTCCGGGTTTATACTCCATACCATACGGTACATGCAGAGTGTAAATAAAGATAACCCTACGTCGGGACCGTAATCATCCCGTTTCGACCCCCCAATCCAAAGGCGAATTAGGAGAGGAATCCGTATATGTACCACACTCATGCTCTGTTGTACTCCTCGTCCTAAGCGACCGCTGGCAACGTAAACGGCGCTGTTCTCCTCCGTCGGGGCGTCCGCTCGCCTCAACCCATGTCTGCCCATGACAACGCTGGTTGTCGACACCTGCCACGTAACTGCTGACTCCCCGTGCCCTCCACGCGCTGGTATTGCCGGAGGCGCCGCCGGTGGGCACAACGTATGCGGTGGCTGATTCGCTCATTACGCGCCTCTGAACTCTCGCTGGTGGTGCGAATTTGAAGCGGAGCCACGGCCAGAAGATGCATCGCACGCCGGCGGCTTGTCTCGACACGGATGCGGTAACGGTGTGGCAACGGGGACGGCTGCCCACAGATGTCGATGACACCCCGGGTCCGAAGTGAGTGCGATAGCAGATAGCATCTCTCTGCCGTCCGCCCGCAGCTCCGCGCACGCGCCTCGCAAAACCCCCCGCGCACTCGCAGACCCGTCCGCCTCTCCTCCGACCCCCATCCCCTTCCCCCCCGCGCACAACGGAACTCAACCCTGCGTGCAGCGGTGCCCAGACCCGCGACAGTTCACGTGTGATTTGCCCTGGCAGGGAACGCGCGGGCTCCTCCTCCACGACCCGCCGATCACAGTGCGTGCCCAGGCCTGCGCGCCGCCCAGACGCCATCATCCGCCGAGGTAAAGGTGCGCAGCGGCGCCACCCGCCCAGCTAGGCGGGGGCAGCGTCCCCGAGCTTCCATGCTTTCCTCCGGATTCACTGGGGGGCTGTCCCATAAGCTCCTGCCGAACCACGAAACGCATGCATGGCGGAGGTCGCTGGCTACGCTAGGCGATCTGGGGGGTTAAGCTCGGACATGGACGGCGGACAAGCTCGTGAAGGCTCGCATCGCGAAACGGGGCCCTGACGGCTCCCGGCTGTCCCGCCTCGTGTGAAGCCCCAAAGGACACGGGGCATTGGAGGTGGCCCATGGCTCGGCGCCGCGAGCGTTATGGCACGCCTGTTTTGCCTGTGCACCATCTCATGATTTGGGAAACACGCATGGTTTGCGACGAGGCAGAGTGGAGGAGACTAGGCTGTGTAGCCGCGTTCAGTGTGGGCCGACAGGAGTGCAGACCTGCCGGAGCGCTTGCTTGCGACCACGAGCAGGGACAGCGATACCATACACCAGGGCTCGAGGCGCGCCGAGCAACAACAGCCCACATCGTGGAGACAGGTGTCTGTGATAAACCAGTCGTCGTGCCCTTCTCCGGCTGCGCGCTCAGACGTCTTCAACAGTTCAGCAAGAATGAGGGAACGGATGATCTGAGAGGCTTTGCATCTGGAGGATATGGGAAGGCTAAGCGAAGTCACTCGCACAAGGCACCCAGATCCGTCGATATATTGGGTCGCCGCAACGCTCAAGTGGACCGTTTGTCATGTTCTGTAAATTTTGGGAAACGGTATTGGGATGAGTATCTACGATGTGCGGAAGGGACCTGTGAGTGCGTGAATCCAACGAGACATGTGAATGGGATCGATCCATCAGTTGGAACAGGATGTTCTATCAGAATAGAATGTGAGTACTCACCTGAGGCAGGTCACATTTGCTGGCCTGACAACACACGTTGCACAGTAAACCTCCTGTGGTCGTCCACATGGTGTCCTCTAGTCGACGAAAGGGTTTGAGACAGCCTAGTCCTCGGCGCCAGAAAAGATAACACCATGATTGCAACGACATAGAAACGTGTAAAGGAGCGACGCCAGGAGTTTGTGTTGGAACTCACAGAGATAACGTATGATATGTTTATCCAGTAACCACGATCTTCCCACTACACAATCT